ATGATATATTTCAACTATAAACAAACAAAAAAAAAAAAAAAAAAAAAAAAAAAGGCAAATGGCCTCAGGTGTCTCTGAATGACTACCCTCAGGGATCACTCGCAAATGAATTATTTACTGGCCTCCCATAAACAAAGACAATCCAACTTTAGGTCTGCAACCTAAGTCTAGCTCCTAAGACCAATTCTGTTCCATTCCACACTGATTATGTTACAAGCTTGTCTCCCCAGGTGCAGAATGACAAGATGAGATCAGTCATTTCCTCTACCTACCCAAGGATACCTGCACAACTGATTCTTCCTTTACCCCTTTTTCCCTTCAAAAGTTCATCTGGTCTGATGTAAAACGCAGATTCACTGGGTACTAATTAAAGTCTCAGCATGTAGGCATTTGCCTTACTCCCTCCTTATCCCTCTCCTGACAGGACTTCACTGCTTTAAGGAAAAGTAAAAACACAAACCCTACTGAAGACCTCTTCAGAAAAAATAGCCACAGGTGTGTCTGTGACTCACGTTTTTTCCAGATGTGCTGTAAAGCTGGCTTAATAAACCTCTTCGTTGAAATCCATGCCTCAGTCACTCATTTTGGTTTTGCTGGAAGTGGCTTAAGTTTTCAAAGTAAGTTAAAATTGGAGACAACAGTTGAAAAATCCCTGAGCAGTCACAACCAGTCAGGTCTCAAATAACCTCAACATTGGTTGATTTGCAGATATAAGCGACACTTAACTTGAGCCATTTCTTGTAAATTCCCATGTTAAAGAAGAATAGGGCGTAAGCTCAACAATCAGAAGTAGCCAACAAACTTTTAATAGCCATATCAACATGGGACTTTCCAATGGGACACGACAAATAAGGCATCTGTGCAAGTGTAACCGAGCCAGCACTCTTTGCTTTACTTCTGTGTTGTCTATAAAAGCCCAAGGCATTCCCTCAGGGGAGCTCCTGAACCACCTCTGGTTTGGAGCTGCCCAATTCAGGAAGAGTTGCTTGCTCAAATGAACTCTTTAAACATGTTGCTGTGCCTCAGTTTACCTTTTTGACAGTCCACTGTCAGAAGTTAGATCTGAAGGAGACCCTTGATGACACCCAGGAGCAGCGAGTAACCAGGCGTGGGCAGCCTCCGGGCCACTGTGCTCACTGCTCTCTAGCTGCATTTGGTGGTCACAGGGTAAGTCCCTCTAGGAGGTCGAGCTCCACAACGTGCATCCTGAGCTCTCCGACTCCATGGGAGCAACTTTTATTCCAGAGGTCAGCCTGGGTCTGACAGGGACTGCACTGGAACCTGCACTGGGATCCACAGTCAAACTGGCTGTTCTGCAGGAACTGGCCTGGGTCCAGCTGGAGGCCTCAGGCAAGAAAAATGTGAGAAAAACAAGGAATTGTGGGCTCATCAGAATCCATGGAGTCTGGGACACCCCATCTGGAACTCCAGGTAATTTTATGTTCAGAAACTACAGACCCAGAGCCTGTGCCTTTCTAGAGAAATGGGTGCAGCTCAGGAGGATGGCTGTGAGTTACAGGGGCCACAGTGGGAAGTTTATTCCAGATGAAATCATTCACCTATGGGCACATTGAAGAAAAGGAATCCTGACTGCCTACAAAACCAGGCAATACATTTTTTGATTAGTATACAGATTGATTTTAGACAGAATGACTCCAAAATTATAGCCTCTCTAAAGGAATCTCTACAGCGCTTGAACAAAATATTATTTTGAGTCTACTAATATTTGATTTCTTACCTTTTTCATATGAAGATCCTAAAAACCAACGTCCTTACAAATTAAATCCTCAACTGAGCCTGGGGCCTCTGCAACAACTAACTCAGATTTTGACCTTGCTCACAACCCTGAGCTGTTACAAAAGCAGCCACCTGAGGCTGAAGGGGAGAAGGACTCCTCAACAGACAGGTGTCTCCCGGCCACTCCATAAACACAGCCTGCAGTACCAGTAAGACTGACCCCGACAACATGCACCTCTGTGCACAACTCCTTTCTGGAGAAAACTTACTGTCCTTTGTCCGTGTCTTAGAGTTGTTGAAAGCTTTAAAATGCAGCATCAGGGAAATGAGTCATCAGAAGGGAGAAGAAATGGGAACATTGTAAAAAAAAATAAACCTGGCAAATGGAAAATCTTAAAAGTCCTTTTCATATGTATTAACAAAAGGCTTTGGCCATCCAAACAGGTAACTTTATCTGCCAAGAATACAATTTGGACCAACCAGTGAGTTTTATATTATTGTACCTGGCACAGGGCTACAATTGGAGAACAGAAGCCAGCAATCTCTGCATCTGTCTGTTTGGTTATTACATCTATATATATGCATGTTATTTACATGTTATAGCATTCTACCTCTGGATGCTATTATTAGAAATAATGTTAAAAGAACTCTGCTTTACTGGCCTAGAGAAAATTAGGTGCTTGTATAAATTCAATATTTTGTCAGAAAATAAGGAACCCAATGGTTTTAAGTTCATATGACTTGAGTAATATTTAATAAATAAGAATATTGATGATTTAGTAGAAATGAACATTCTACCTAGCTCAGCTAGTCAAATAAGCTCATTATTCTTGCTAAAAAATTTGTCAACAAGAAAAATAACCTGAGATGACAGGTAGTTTGATATTATGTGTCTGTTTAAAAACAGTTTCCGAAATATTTTTGAAAACTTGAAACTCTGAAATTATACTGTTATTAAATGATATTTACTGCATATCTAGATCATGTCCAAATAAAATAAACTACTAAAACACTAATTCCTAAAAAGAAATTTAAGCTTAATTATTTTTGGTGTATTATAGAGGAACTGGAGCTACCTGGGTCTGCCCGTAAGCATGTCCTGTGCTGCGGAGGCACATGCCATTTAACAACTATGACATCATGTACTTCCTAATTTACAGTGGATATTAATGTCACTAAGGATTAAGAATTTGAATTAACATGTGCAATTAAAACTACTAGAAACAAAGATGAAAGCAAACAACTGTATATGAAAAATGTACAGAGAAAGTAGGATGTGTATTTAGTAAGGAAAAGTATGTGAGGTCTGTGTTTTAAGAAAAAAGAGAGTAATGTTATCTTAAAACAAGATGACTGATTGTTCTAGCATAAAAATGAAGAAAATGAGTAAGGTAAAAACTGAGTGGGTATACACAGCTGTAGGAGGTCTGACAAAAGAAATTTTATGTGTGGCTAAACTACTAAGATTAGAATTTTGTTTATAAGTTTTTTTTTAAAGCTTAGTAAAGTACTGACACAAAGTTTGTTTTGTCTCTCTTAATAGGACAATATTTTCTTAAGTATTGGTCTTAATTACAAAAGTTTTTTTTTTTTTTTTTATTTTAAGAAATTGGCCTAGAAAACAATGATTTTGTATTTTGTTAGGATAACTTGAGTCTGATTAGTTAAGAAAAGCGAGTCTTTAATATTTAAAAAGGGCTGACCGCAGTGACTTGCGCCTATAATCTCAGCACTTTGGGAGGCTGAGGCCAGCAGATCACTTGAGGAGTTCGAGACCAGCCTGGCCAACATGGTGAAACCCCATCTGCACCAAAAATACAAAAAATTAGTTGGGCATGGCAGCACATGCCAGTAATCCCAGCTACTTGGGAGGCTGAGGCAGGAGAATCGCTTGGACCCAGGAGGCGAAGGTTGCAGTGAGATGAGATTGCACCCCTGTACTCCAGTTTGGGTGACAGACTGAGACTCCATCTTAAAAAATAAATTAAATAAAATAATAAAATAAAAATAATATGTAAAAAAGAAGGTTCTTTTTTACAATCCGGTATCTGTTCCATAAAAACCTGCTGAAAAAATGTTAATAAATGAGAGAAGGCTGGGCAGTTGCTCAGGCCTGTAATTCCAGCACTTTGGGAGGTCAGGGTGGTGGATCACCTGAGGTCAGGAGTTCGAAACCAGCCTGGCCAACATGGCAAAACCCTGTGTCTACTAAAAATAAAAAAAATTATCCAGGCGTGGTGGCAGGCACCTGTAATCCCAGCTACTCGTGAGGCTGAGGCAGGAGAATTACTTGAACCCAGGAGGCGGAGGTTGCGGTGAGCCACGATCACACCATTGCACTCCAGTCTGGGCAACAAGTGAAACTCCATCTCAGAAAATAAAATAAAATAAATGAAAAGATCAACCAATGCATCAGCAAATGTCAGCAAGATGGTTTCATTTCCATTCATCTCATGACATGAGGCAACCCTCAAACATACAGGCCCTGGCCATGAAGCCTTTGGAGCATCACTGGAACTGGGTATTGACCCAGAAAACACTACAAATCCTTGCCATCAAAGAGGTTCAAGTCCAAGTTCCCTTTAGGAAGAGCTGCAATCTGCTCAAGTGTCTAAGTTTGCCTCTGTTGCTTATAAGAACATACCTGAAACTGGGTAAGTTGTAAAGAAAAGGCATTTATTTCTCACAGTTATGAGGCTGGAGAAGTCCAGGGTTGAGAGGCCACAATGGTGAGGGCTTTCTTGCTGGTGGGGACTCTTCAGGGTCCCCAGGTGGTGCAGGGCATCAGGTAGTGAGGGGCCTGAGTGTGTTGGCCCCGATCTCTCTACCTCTTTTTATAAAGCCGCCAGCTCTTCCATGAAAATTCATTAACCCACTAATCTATTGATGGATTAACCCTTATGAGGGTGGAGCCTTCATGACCCAATCAAATCTTCAAGGCCCGTCTCTTGGGCCTGCATCTGAACCCACTCAAGCTGGTGTGGGGC